GAAAAAGGATATATATATATATATTTATATATATATAAATATATATATATATATATATATGTATGTATATATATATATATTAATGCAGACATGAGCCATGACAATAAATGAGCCATAGTGAGAGGTTTTTAAAGGTTTGTGCTAAATGCGTGACAAAAAAATTGTTTAAAAAAAAAACCTGTTTATTGGTATATATCTGATGTTTATATGTTTCTGAGCAATTTATTCAAAGATATTTCATTTTGATTTCTAGGAAACGTGTATTCATGGAGCTATAAAAAATGCAAGACATGTTTAATGAATTATGTTTGTTTATCTGTCGGTGAATCTAGACCTATTAAAAGTAGGACTAAACATATTTCTCATTGTTGAACTGTTTATTCGCATATTTCTAATGTTTATATGTTTTTGAGTAATGTATTTGAATATATTTGTTTGATTTATTGGAAACGTATATCCATGTAGCTATCAGGTATCTGCAAAACATGTTTAGTGTTTGGTTATGTATATCGGCGAATCTCCCAAGTTCTACTACTGCTCATAATGTGAGGGCGTTTGTCAATTGTATGTGAATGTAACCTGGCTCTGGATATGTGGATCAAAATTACTTTGGTTTTACTTTATAGCATTTATATTGTATCAGTAACTTTTTTTGACAGTAATACAGAAAAAAAAATTAACATTATTATTATTATTCTATTTGGAAGAGGGTTTAGGTTATTGAAGGTAGTTCGCACGAAAACGGGGTTCGGCAGAACTAGTACCGCAGTTCTTTTGGTTACTTCAATCACTTGTAGGCATAGAGACGGCCCGTGTTTAGTCCGAATGACCTATAGTAATATGTATGTATATACTTCGTATTGCAATATGTTGTTACAATGTTATATGTATTCCATTCTCTATATAGAGGGCTTCCCGTTGTTAATGTGAATAGAAGTAAAATAAAATAACAAATACAATAAAATAATAAATAAAACAACGGGTTGGCGCGTGTCCGACGTCAGACGCTGCTTTTTGAAAACAAATGACGTGTTTTATGGTACGCAACAATATCAAAAAGCAGCAGTAGCAGTATCATCACCTGCTGAATATGAATGATATATCTCACAGGTGATATCACATGAAAATGTAACCCACCATCATCGTACCTGTTGGTGTTTGTCTTTAGTCTCGACGACACGTGACAATACTTGGTGATTCCGATTAGTCCTTCAATAAGATTTAAATTAAAAGTGTGCCAAACAGGGTCCTTGTAAACCAATTACTAGTTTAATAAAATAAATAAGAGATTAAGAATGATGATTGTAAATAATATTAATAATGAGAGTAAAATTATAAAAATCATAATAATAAAGATAATGACGTTGATGATGATGATGATAATGATAATGTTATAAATGAGGATAATAGTAGTACCGTAATAATATACTATTTATTGATGATGATGGTGATGAAGATGAGGATGATGATAAATAATAGGCCTATTAAGAAGTTGATGATGATGCTGATTAATATTATGATGAGGCCAACGATATCATAGCGCTAATGCTAGAGAAAGAAAAGAATTCTGATACAAATAAAAAAATATGAATGAATCAATGTAATAAATTGCAGTGCCGGCTAGTTCTTCAAACTTGTTAATACCAAATGGACAGTCCGAACATCATTGAGAGGAATATTGATAATGGTAACAAATCACCTATCCCCACACCTGTTCCTGTCATTGTAACTGTTCCCAATGTTTTAATATGCAACACACCATCGTAATTCAGAGAACGTGTAGGCCTATATGATATGATATATATATATATATATTATATATATGTATTATATATATATATATATATTATATATATTTAATTGTTTAGGCCTTAATCATATACTTATGAAGGCCTGTATTTATGATTACAGTATATGTATATGTATAAGAGAGACCAAGGAGGTAGAAAAAATACCTCCTTGGAGAGACCGAACCTCATAGACCACCTCAAATTTTCAGGTCCCAAATGTGGTCTCAAATTAGAGGGCGAACTATGGATGTCTAGGCCTATATACTGTATATACATATAGGTCTATAACAGTATAGATATGTATATGTATCCCTCGGCCTCATAGCTTATTATGTGAGCAGCAGAACGGTAATCTGTGAGGATATTAATTTCGATTCTGATTCCGTTTTTACTCAATCCACTTTTTAATATCTTTATATTTCTAAAGGGAATTACTTCGGTTTCTTCATCATAATCATTTGCGCATAATTACATAATACACATAATTAACATAATTACACTCGTTAGTTTGGCAAAATAAATTTTTCAACATCAGAATTTTCTTTCTCATTGTATTCCTATTAAACTGGCCATTATCTGACAATTTGGTATAAGTGTCCAGTTTTTGTCGTCGTATAGTAACTGGTTGTTACGGATAGTGAAAATGTAAGAAGCAAATTTGACCTGTTTCTTCTTAATGTAGTATGGAATAGGAGTGACGAAAAACAACATTGAAATAGTACTAATAGATGAAACCGGAATGTTTTCGGATTTGTTGCATATTTTGACAAATCCGACTGTTTCAATAGTTTGAATACCTTCATCATTTACATCAAGCCTCTTTCACCGACAGTGATAATGATTTTACACAGCTTGCCGTGGATTTGCCGCTTCTTTAACTAGGTCAGAGTAAGAAGCCAGGTTCTTTTGCATATGTTAACCTGGATTATATGAATACTTCATAGTGGTTTTCATAGCGAGAGGTTGCAGGTTCGAGTCCCGTCAGAAACAATATATTCATAGGCGTAGATCCCGGGGGATGGGGGATATATCCCCCCCCCCCAATATTTGACAAGGGGGGGGGGATGGTCCATTGTATCATCCCCCAATATTTTGACTATGTATGGGATAAAATGGAGCTTTACACACTTAGAAAGACTGTCACAGAAATAATTTGCACTGTCTTATGCGCTTACAAAGATGAAAATTAGCATAATGTATTAATGTTGATAACAAAATTATTTTATCTGGTACCAATCTCAACTCTTCTTTCCTTAGATGTTAGTTGTGCTTGCAAAGAGAGCCACATTTCGCACTGAAGGGTGTGTACGACATCAGTAATGTTATGTCAATTCCAAGGTTATATCGGTTGATGAGGAATTTATTGATTAGGCCTATAATAGTAAATTGCACCAATTTATTTTGCAAAAACAATGTTTCCAGCTTCAGCGGGGGTCACATCCCCTGTCCGCACAAGGGCACACATTGGCGCTAACATCAGGCGCGTAACAGGGGTCTTGGGTCAGAGTGGGTATTTATTTATTTTATTTATTTTATTTTTTATTTCAACCATCTTTAAAGAGGGTAACCCTTCTAGTTTAGCCCAGTAGGTTAACTGATATTCAGGGGCCCTCTTTAATAAAATTAAAGAACAGTACAAACAACATCATTACAACATAATAATAATAATAAATATAAGCATTTTCATCATTATTACAAACATATTATTTCACCATCTATACACATTGAGGCCCTTCTTTTAGGTGAAAATGATCTATCTTAAATTTGTCTTTCTTGAGTTTGGGACTATTATGTGTTTAAATAATTTGAAAGGATAAAACTAAAAAGGCCCTAAAAATGCGCGCCACAAGCGCGCAAAATATTTTTGTGTTTTCAATTCTAATTTTGTCGGAATTGATGAAAATTAAAACTCCCTAAAATGTGCAATTTATAGAGGAAATTGGCTTACCGTAACAAGAAATGCGCGCAAAGAATTTGAGAATTTTAGGCACTTTCAGAGGATGCATTTGTCTTATCTTATTTATAATATAGGCCACACACGTGTGTTTGAAACTAAATATAAGCATTTTCATCATGGTTTTATTTATTACAATCATATTCTTTCACCATTTATACACATTGAGGCCCTTCTTTTAGGTTAAAACGATCTATC